TATATATATATATATCTAGAGATATATATGTATATATATATATCTACATATATATATATATATATATATATATATCTATATATATATATATATATATATATATGTATGTATGTATATATATATACATATATATACATATATATATATAGATATATAAAGCAAACCTACCAAGACATGTATCATTTTCATTGACTTTGGCAGTTGCACCAACTAGCTTAGTTAGTCTTTCGCAGGCTTCGGAAAAGACCGAGCTCGCTGGTGTCGTGGATACCTCTGTATAACAACAATACAATAAGGTGGTAATAGATACATTGAATATATACTATACCAATATATGTAACTGAACTGTGACACGTTTATTTTCGGTTGATCCTATCGAATAGAAGATCGAAATTTAATCACACGAACTCTACTACAACTGAATTAGTGCATGAGGATACTTTCGTACTACACATTGGTCATCATGGTAATAAGTATCTGCGACGAATGCACACGGCTGAGCATAATTATATATTGGTTTATGGGTTTGAGCGATAATCTGACTATAGCAAAAAACGTTAATTATTTATTGATAGTTGAGTGTAGATAGCAGTAGCATGAGTGTGTGTGAGTAGATGTATCTATTTCTAGTATGCTTGATACTATATTGGATTATATGCTCCCAGTAATTTCGGTGCGAGATCGACAGATAAACTGTTGAGTGATCCGGTATACATTTCAAAACGCTACACACGCATACACGCACACTTATAAATGTGTGTATTTGAATATAGGTATATATAAAACACCCACCCACACAGACAGTTACATACATGAATACACATACTACTACTAGCATGCACATCGCATTTGCAAGCCCCATGCACAAATATGGCTATAAATACATTTAAACACGTGCCACCCACCCTTGCTATCCCACAGTCCAAAGTTCATCCAATGCGTTGGTTGTCTATTCAACGTGTGTGCACTTTGATCGTAGTTCAACAACGAGCGGTCCGTAGTTGTGACATCATACAGGTTCTCGAGGCGGAATGCCATATTTACTAACCCGTGTTACGTAGTTTGTCTTTAGATGACCTGCACATTCACAGTATGCGCTGTGCACATATTTATCCCTTTTTAAATAAATAACACTTCGCATTAGCCGGCGTTACACAAGGAATATAAATAGGGGTTGTATTCACATTTATAATTTATTATGTCTTCTGTGGGGCAAGCCATGTATATATGTACATGTTTTTTTAGATAGCAAAATATCACAGCCGTCGTGTTATAATAATATAGAAACATTACATACCTCTCGTGACCTCATCCTAAATAAATACATACATATTTGTTAGTGGCCTAGAGTGGGCCACAGCCTACCGCTGATTAGGCACGCTCGCTCTATTGAAAAGGAGACATGTGGAGGCTGGACCAGTGACCACTGGACTACTCTACTCTCGACCATAGTAGAGAGTTTCATGTAGAAGACTATGAGTAGAGAAAGAGTATTTACTATGTATATAGTATGTATGCTCAGTGCTGGTCAGTGACTCAGTTGGTCACCTGGTCACTGCTGGTCCTGGAGCCTTGGAGTTGGAGTTGGAGCCGCTGGGAGCCTCAATCTTCAATCTATATCAGCTCAAAGCCTCAAATCAGGTAGTGAGTGTCAAACTGACAAGTGTCAATTGTCATGACTCATGAATGAGTCATGTTGATGTAGGGCTTTCCTGGGCTTGGAGGCAACAATGGCGCCTTTTTCAATTTCTTCTAAATCAGGGACTATATATTTATCTCTATTGCCGTCTTGGCCTGTACATGTATACATGGGCCGCTGGGCTACTAGAGGCCTTGGCCTGGCCCCTGGCGGCCTGGGGCAGGGACTTGCGAGTTACATCCGACTTAAAGGAGTTGTCCCTATCAACTTCTCAAGTCTCACCTCTCTCTCTCTCTCTCTCAAAACTCGCCGTCTCAACTCTATCTCTAAATATTAGTTATGTATCTGAACATCTGAATATTAGTTAAGATAGAGAGAGAGGGCTAAAGAGAGGCTCTGACAAGACATTTGGTCTCTTGAAAGAAGGGGAAGTGGAATATAAGAAATCCCCAGTGCACCCAACCAGATGGATGAGTGCCATATATGTATATCTGTGTTT